AAAAAAAAAAAAAAGAAAAAAAAAAAAGAAAAAAAGAAAAAAAAAAGGGAATCGTGGGCAGCAGCAAAGGAGGATCATGGTGACCGGTATAAGTATAGAATGGAGAGAACTGACAGCAAAGCTAAGCAGGCAATTCAATCCCAAACTGAGGGAAGAAGCAGTGAGAAATTTCACAGGAGGTGGCTAAAGGGGAAGGGAACATAGCTGAAATCAAAGGCAAAGGCCTCAAATCCGCCAATTGACGCCAGAAAGAGCCCAAAAAGAGGAAGACCATGTAGAGGAAGAATAACAAGACCCTAGGAAACAAGCACAACAAGAGACACGGCAGCCAAAACTACCTACCGTCTTCACCCGAATAGAACGCCCGGTAATTATCGCCGTAACTGGGCTAAAAGTTGTGCCAAATAAAGCTATAATGACCGGGTATTCGGGTGAAGACGGTAGTAAGTCTAACCCACAATAGGTATGGCCAAAAAAATAACCCCAGCCACTAGACACGAGCATCAGATAACTAACTACAGGTGATGCATGGAAACAGACAGAGGAATAGCCTTACCTATAGCCTATAAGCACACTGCAAGTATCTTGCAGTTGAATAGCCCTATTTGCGGAGGAATAGCCCTCCCTATAGGCAACGAGCTTGACTGAAGTTATGGGAGCAGAAAGCACTTGGCTGCCAGAGACACTGAGGCAGAACTTACAGGAACTCACAGTGCTTGGTACAAGTAATAGTACAGGGGGATCCAGGTTATAGTTAAGAAGGAGACAGATGAAAGCAAGCATTATGAGAACATTACGTAAGAGCAGCAAAGGCGAGGATTTTAGGGGGACGCTGGACCCAGTTTCCAGCTTTAGACTTAGTAGGGTCTCGACTTCCCAGAGAAAGTACGGGGCAAAAGCCCGCACTAGGCCAGATTAGGCAGGGGTGAGGGGTGGTATATCCTTCCTAAGGGAAGTAATCACTGCTGTTCACTTGCTGCCGGTGGAATATGAACTGGACCAATGCTCCCCAGAATGGATATGGAGCCAGAACCATAAAGGTCCATAAGACTCATATGCAAGGAAAATGAGCAATAGCGAGATGACAATGTCCAGAATGCACAATCACATTGAAGGCCAGATAGTATCACAGTGTCCAGAAAGCAGAAATGCACCAATATAACACCAATGAAGAATCGTAACACTGAAAACCAATGTCAATGAGAGCTTGCTCTCACCACCACCAACATGAGCGTCCAGGCCCTATCTCCCTACTTGGCGCTCGGCGCCCAGTCTACTTCCTACACAGCTACAGTCTGCCTACTAATTGACAATGCAACTGTTGACGTCAGCAGCTCACAAAGTACTTGAAGATGTCGCCCAATGCAGACCATCGCCAATAGCAGGTATGTGCCCTCACATCATCATCATCGCCATCCTTCTCTCTCTCTCCCTCTTCTTATACCCACGTCTTCCCTCAGTACACCGGAAGACCACCCCTGCGCCTCACTGTACAACCAAGCCCTCAACCAGCTATGGAGGCTGGGCTATGGCGCTGCCCTCAGCAGCGCCCTGCTTCCACACACGACCGCACGTGCGCAGCACCTTGCTCCAGCGCTAGCAGCCAGCACGCTAGCAGAAGCTCCAGCAGCGCTGCCGCCAGCCAGCAAGTGCCTGAATGCCGCTCCAGGCAGCGAGCTCTTTCCTATATGGAAAGAGCCTGCCTGCCTTCGCAGCCTGGCTGGCCTGGGCCTGGGCCCAGAAGCTTCCGGTAGGCCCCACGATGCTGCGCCTCTGGCGCAGCTACTGGGCCTCATTCGGTTGGGCCTCCCACTGTCTGTGTATGAGGCCGCGAATCTCGCCCAGGGCCTGTGCTTTCGGAAAAGCCTAGAAGGCCGTGGAATTTCCTCGCTGTTCGGCCTGTGTTTCCTTCAACCAACTGGCGTGACGAAACTGCCTGGACCCCAAATACGAGATTGACAGCCGAGGGCTTCTCGTGATTTATTAGGCCCGCCTTCACTTACGGTGGGCACAGATGCAACAGGGGCCCCTTAGGCCTGCCGAGGACCCAGATCCTCGCACATAAGTGGTTTTTTTTTTTTTTTTTTTNTTTTTTTAAAATAATGGGTGTGGAGTCTGTGCCACTGTGGACTTCCCTTTGACAGAGGTAGAGCAGCAATTAATCCTTCCCAGTGTTCCCACAATGAAAGCCCTCAACGATAAAGAAAACATGGGTAGAGGTGGGGTGATTCATTCCATTCGGGAAAGTTAGCAATGATGTACTCACAGTTGTTCTCGCTCATGCGAAACATTCAGTGGGTATTTGGTTCAGGACGCTGGACCTGGTTTCCAGCAATAGTAGGAGCTCCAGTGGAGGAAGCGAGGAATCAGATAGTCAGGTAGCACTGAGAAAAACATTTGAGATTCGGTATTGAGAAAGCAGATGTTGTAGCAGCGCAGAGAGTTGAGGGGTAGAGCAGTGGTAAATGACCGTAAATCCTTCCTGCTGGGAAGTAAGAAACCCTGCTGTCTCAGCTTCTCTCGACCATAACGGAGAGAAGCATGGAGTGCGTAAGTTTTGCGAGGGACGCTGGACACGATTTGCAGCCGTTCATGAAAATTCCCGGTCTTTTTGTTAATTTTATTTATTTCAAGGTTGGAGGTCCAGTTCATGCTTTTCCCTTGATGGGAAAGTGCAATTCAGCACCCGTGGTGAAGAAAATCAAGAGAATTGGATGTCCCATTCATGATTGAGCTGCTCGAGTGGAATGGTTTGCAGGCCATGGGCGTAAGGCCGCAAAGTTGGAACCCGGTAAAATATCTCTGTGAGTTAGTGTGGAGGTGGGCGATTCAGTGATGATGCGTGGCGGTTGACGCTGCGTGGACAGGTGCGCGAGGAGATGTTGCGCTTGTGCTCACCACTGGTGCGGGCAAGACTAATTCCGAGCTTTTCCATTTCGGTGACCTTTTATTTTTTCTTTTGTACTTCATTCAAGTTCATTGTACCTTCCTACACTTTGTTGTTGGTGTTTGACTAGTGACAGTTAAATTGAGAAGTGTGTTGTTGCTCCTTCCTTGGCTGCAACGGGCGGGGTAATTCTGTGGTGTGAGTGGGTGCTTGTTCTCGGTTTGCAGCTCTACAGAATGCACGGATGAGCGCCGGGAACTACTGGCATCAAATCAGTTCTATGACTTTTACCGTGGCCTTCTCGCACACGCTCCCATATTGGAGTACACGGATGCTTTCGAGGACTCGACAGGTGTAACATTTGGTGTACGTGGAATGGGTAAGAGACGTGTGAGGTGGTCCCGAAAGACACCGGCATTCACACCCAGAGGGGACATCTACTTGGGTGGCTTAGCTCCCACAGAGACATTGAGTATGCAGGTGTCCGCCCTTCAGAACAGCACCGCCACACTCAAGTTCCGGTTCGATATTGTGGCCGATGGCCCTGTAGGTGTGAATGGCCCTCAACCAGTTCTTCGGTTGTCAGGGGAGGAGATGCTTCCTCAGCCAGAAAGTATGTTTGCTGCTCCCAAGCATGTTCTCGGAGTCCCTCATTACCAGCTGAGCTATGTGTTTAGGTACGAGAGCAGAACGTTGAAGGCATGGATATCTCTGCGGGGCTTGCTCGCGGGGACTTGGGGCGTGGATAATGTGGAGCTGAAGAGTGAGGTTGATAACTATAGGCCTTGGGCAGAGGATAGGGAGGAGACCAGTAACCCTGATCAGCCCCTGACAATTGAGCTCCGGGGGCATGACCCTGAGTGCAGTAAACTGACGTACCTTGTCACATCTGTGCCTGAGCGTGGGACGCTCTTCCTTTGCACGTGTGACAGCATCTGGACTCAAGCCATCATGCCAGCGATGCTTCCTGCCAAGGTTCCTGGCCCATGTAATCGCGTGGTATACGTTCCACAGGCCAACATGCCAGGTGCTGCAGATGCCTCTGACATCAACAGAGGCATGCCCTTTGACTCTTTCTTGTATGCAGTTCGTGATCAGGGGGGGCTTGACTCCCGCCCTGCCAGAGTGACGGTTTACATAAAGACGGATTTTTATCCTGGCACGCCGGTTGCTGGTGTGGCAGGGTTTGCCCTCGCTTTTGATGGCCAGGATGATGTGCTGAGCATTGCCCGCACACCCTCCACCATGGGCCGTTTGACGCAGCTGACTGTCGATGTTCGCTTTCTCATGATGGCTGATGAAGGCCATCGCAATGCACTGGTATCTCGGAAAGGTGGCTTCTGGTTTGGCTGGGATCGCCTTGGTGGGCTGGGTATGGAAATCCAAGGCGAGGATGGGAATTTTGTGGGTGTCTGGACAATGTTGAAGTACAATGACCGCCGCTGGCACCATGCTGCTGCCACCTGGAATGAGTCTGCACTGGCCATCTACATAGATGGCCAGCTGGTGGAATCCACCCAAGTGCATATCACTGCGATTTCACCGTCCTCCTTCTCCTATGCGTCCCCTGGTGACGGTGGCATCCTGGTCGGTGCGGACCCATCACAAGAGAGTGATGGGTACTTCCATGGCTACGTGGATGAGTTGCGACTGTGGAACAGGTCCTTGAATGAAGCTGAGATACGAGATTGCATGATGATGGAGGGACAGCTCAACACCACCGAGGAGAGGGGTCTTTTTGTTTACTTGCAGTTCAATGACAATGAGTACTCCCTACCCGTGGTTTTCGATCAGACGCACGACAGAAATGATGGTTTCTTGGGAAAACTCAATTCTGATGGCTACTCGGACGGTGACAATTCCCACTGGCCGAGGTACGTGGCATCCACAGCGGTCTTCGGGAATGTTGTGAAGATGCAAGAGGATGAGTCTGCAACTATCCTGCTTCATGGAGGGGATAAGGAGGGAGGCGTGACCTTCTATATCTCGACTTTGCCACGGAAAGGGAGGCTGTACACGACTCAAGATGGATGGACGAGGAGAGCCGAAATCACAAGCTCCCCCATCAGAATTGGCGGGAACAAGGTTATCTATGTTCCTGCAAAGAATGGGCATGGGCAGCCATATGACATCTTCAAGTACCAGGCATACGACGGGAAGGAGTTCTCATATCGTCAAGGGGTCGTCATTCATGTGGAATCTGTCAATGATCCCCCCATCGTGGCTCCCAGGACCATATATGCTTTTCGAGCAGCACGAGTGGTGGTTCTACTCCAGGCTGAAGATCCAGAGGGGGAGCAGACAACCCTCCAGATCGATACCCTCCCAGAGAAAGGTCTTCTCTATCAAGCAAGCGACACCGGCAGGGTGGCAATCGGTAGACCAATAACCACTCCTGGCACGATAGTCACCAACAAAGACGGATGCTTGGTGTACTACCCATTGTTTAATGGACACGACTTGGATGGAATGCCGTACGATTCCTTCAGTTACTTGGCCAACGATGGGCTGCTGGACTCCCCAGAGGCAACTGTAACTATTCATGTCTCGGAAGCTGGGTTGGAGGAGAAGCCTGTGGCTGGTCCGGGCGGCTATGCACTTCTATTTGATGGAGTTGATGATGTTCTCTATTTAGGAACACTCGAAGATTACTTAACTTTTCCCCCCTCATCACCACCATTATCATCCTCCTTGTCCTCCGTAGTTTCTTCTTCTCTTTCCTCTTCGTCTTCCACTTCATCCTCGCCGTCATCATCATCACCGTTGTCATTGCGGTCATTGTCGTCATCTTTGTCTCGGAGGGTGATGGATGCCGTGCTGGGACCATTCGCGGTGGAGTGCTGGTTTAGGACATCAGCGCTTATGGGAGAGAAGGACATAACACTGATTGTGGCTGGTCCGTTTGTCCTTCGGTGGACAAAGGTTGCAGGTCTTCAGTTCTCTGTGGGCTCGAAGCTGGTCGTGGATTCCTTCATGACCTGCAATGATGGCACATGGCATCATGTCTCAGCTGCATGGAATGCGAGTTCTGCCACCATGATTGTTGATGGGAAGCAAATTGCAACCTCATCTAGGACTGCAGAGCCTGTGCTGCCAGAAACCGCTGCGATGTGGGATTGGAAGTCAACCAGAGTCATTGCTGGTGGGGGGCTGATGAATGGTACGCAGGGGTTTTACAGTGGAGCAATTGATGAGATCCGCATATGGAGAACAGAAAGGGATGCGCAAAGTGTTCAGGGCGACATGATGGACCCTCTGCTTGGCGACCTGCCATTGGGACTTGTTGGGCATTATCGTCTGAATGAAGCCCATGGTGACAGATTGGAGAATGCAGCGACTGGTGCTCGTGACGGCGAGCGAGGACTGGATGGATTGCAGAGAACACAACCCACATGGATAGCATCCACAGCCCCAATTCAAAGTGCAGTGGTAGCACGAGAGGGAGAGGACACATTGATCCACCTGCGGGGGTCGGATACGATGGGGCGTGAGCTGGAGGTGATCATCATCCGACTGCCAGGCTACGGCCATCTTTACCAGGTGGAAGATGCTGATGACCCAACAGCGCCGGCTGTAGGTGCTGCTGCATCAGGGGGGCACCTGCTCCGGAGTATGACATCAAGAAGTGAGGAGGGATGGCGCACGATGGCTGATAAGTTATCCTCTGACACTCTCAGTGAGGCCAAGGATGCAGGCCGGAGTGTGATTTGGGCAAACGACAAGGAGACTGGGGAACGTAGGATGGTTAGCTCCACGTGGAAGGCAAAGTTCAGGAGGGGAACGTTGATCGATTCTGTCCCTGTGATCGCTAAGAGGAGAATGGTGATATACAATTCTGGAGTAGGACTTGCCGGAGTTGGCCTGGGAAGTTTCGAGTATGTGGTAGGGTATATTGCGGCGCTTGTACCTGGATTTTACACACCAGGCCTTGGGGAATCACCCTGGCCGCGCCTGTTGTTCTACGATGAGAATGTCAATGAGCTGCTGCCCGCTGAGAGCTATGTCTCATCGCCGAGAACGCTAACCGTTGACGTGGAGCGAGTGCATGGAACGCCCACGGGCTGTGAAAATGTCAGTGAGTGTGTGGTGCATCTGGCATATGGGGAGACAGATGATGTTGTTATTCCACTGGCGGCTCGGCACCATCAGTATTCCCAGGAAGCATTGACTGTCCGTATCTCACGTTTGCCAGAGAGAGGGGTGTTGCGGTTGATTAACGGTAAGCCCATTAGAGAGATCGATACGTTGGTGAACTTCTCGAGCCCCATGGCAGGTAACCTCAGCCAGGGGTGGCGTGAAGGATTTTTGGTCCTCTATTCACCACCAATTAACGCGAAAGGCAGCCCTTTCGACTGGTTTGGCTACCACGTGGTCGACAATGCTGGGTTGATGAGCGCAGAAAGCTGGGTGGTGATCAACGTGGAAGACACAGGCATGACGTTTCCAAGGCCTGTGGTGGGGTCTGCAGGCCTCGCACTACTTTTCGATGGTGTTGATGACATCGTCACACTTGGTAAGCTCTCAACATATGGAATTGATGGCACGGGAGTTGCAATTGCTTGTTGGTTCAGAGCATCAGCACTATTGGGTGTGAAGGCAAGTGCCCTGGTTGTTGGAGGACCCTATCAACTCATTTGGACCCCTTTTCTAGGCTTGCAGTTCCGAGCTGGCAGTGCAGTTGCAGCTACGTATGCCCAGTATAACGATGGGTCTTGGCATTTTGTGGTGGGCTCTTGGGATGGACGAGAGGCATCAATCAGTGTCGACTTCAGGACGGTGGCTGTTGCCAGGTCAGACAGAGATATCTGGGAAACGAGGGACTTGGTATCGGCTGAAAATCATGTGTTGACAGTGGGAGGGGATATAAACAGTACGGCAAGGAATTATCGTGGCGAAGTCGACGAACTCTCTTTGTGGAAACGGCATGTGCCATTGGTGGCCGTGAACAGGGCAGCCAAAGGTCAAGCATTCCTTGGAAATGAGCTAGGGCTGGTCGGGTACTGGAGGTTCAATGAAGCAACAGGCACTGGAGTCAGGAATGAAAAGACCGGTAGCTCTGCTCAGTCTGCTGCTCCTGACATCTTTCCCACAGAAATTGCAGCAGCTTTGGAAGGAGGCGGCAGCAATGCATCCCGCACCCTTCTCGGAGAGAATGAGGAGGAAAACCTGGTTGGCATGGGGCTGAGAGGGGCAGTGGACACTCAGCCTCAGCGAGTTATCTCCACTCTACCACTGAGCAACACCGCAGACGTTGAGGAGGAAACTATGCTCCCTCTTGATATTGTGGCTGTCTCAGAAAATGATGCGGTACCACCCAAGGTCCGGATCTCTGTGACCCCTAAGCATGGAACTGTCCGGGCAGAAGGATTTAATAAGCCATTGACCAGATTCACTCGTGTCCCTGCCTCTGCTCATCTCACCTATCTCCCAACTAAGCACTTCATTGGTGAGGATCGACTCATCTACACCGTTGAGGATGGGGTGTTGCAGTCAATCCCTCAGTCCTTCAGCATTTTCGTGAACCGGAAAATGCAGCCATCTCTCGCCAGTAGCCTCCTCGTGCAGATGGATTTCCACTCCCCCAGTCCAGTCACGGTCGATCTCTCTTCATCGTCTTCTTCTTCAGTTGCTGCCACGCCCAAGAACCTGAGGCAGATCCAGAACCAGAGCACAATCGAGTTCTTAGTGACGGAGTTGCCATGGAGAGGGGTGCTGTACATGGGGTTGTCGGCTGAGGGCAGACCAGAGTCACCCATTGTGGAGCCAGGGACGACTCTTCCCAGCTCGAAGATAATTTATATGCCTATGTTGAATGCACCTGCGGATGAAGATTCATTCAAGTATGCCCTCTTTAACAGGGGCAGTGGTCTCTCGGGTCCAGAAGCGACAGTAAAGCTGGTGGGTACAGAGACAGGGCTGGACCGTGCAGACACACCTGTGGCTGGGCCTGCGGGTTTGGCCCTGTCGTTTGATGGGCGATCCTCTGTTGCCACCCTTGGCTCCTTGCAGGACTATTCTGTCAGAAAGGACATGATGTTTCTGGAGTGCTGGTTCCGAACATCAGCTGTGTCATCAGCGCTTCCCATGACTCTTGTGAGTGCTGGCTCTATCTTTGCAATCAAGCTGCACAGCCTGCACGGAGCAACGCTCTCCATAGGAGCAAAGACAGTGAGCATCTTTGACTCATTCAATCAAGGTTCTTGGCATCATCTTGTCGCATCGTATAATGGATCCCATGCTTTGCTGATGATTGGCAATCGAACTGCCACTGCAACAGGAACAGCAGCAGCAAGGGCGGCAACATATGATGAGCGGAATTCTGCAGAGACAGCTGTTACGCTGGGGGCATCTCTTGCTGCAGACACTCCACGGTCATATTTGGACTACCTTAATGGGGAGATAGACGACCTACAAATAGGGCCAACTGAAGAGGGGATAACCGGGCGGTTCTTGTTCAATGAGCCACTCGGGAGTCAGCTAGTAAATGAAATCCCGGATCGCCCAGGTGGGACCCTGGGATGGCAGGGTGCCAATGTACCGGCGCGAGTGACATCCACGGCACCGATCCAAGGATTGCCGTTGGTTCCGTCGCCTGTCATTACACTGCTTGAGGACTCCACAGTAACAATCAAGCTCCTGGCATTCTCGTCAGAGAGCATGCACCGCCTTGAGTTTACTATCGTGGAATTGCCATTGAAGGGCAGCCTATTTGCAGTGGATCGTTTTGGTCGTCGAGGTCCAGGCATCTCCCATGTTCCTCGTGTTCTTTCTCGTCCGTATGTCATGTTTCAACCACTTGCAGATACATTCAGCACCCCAAGGGATGAGGTGTATGCCACATTTGCGTACGTTGCTAATGTTGTCGGCCCGCTCCCTGCATGGACATCTGCTGTTGTCCGTGTGGCACTTGTGGTCCACCCCCTCGATGACCCGCCATTTATGGCATCAACAACAATGAATGTCGAAGTTGCTGAGAATAGTGTCGTCAACATCACTTTGACTGGATCTGACAAGGAGGAAGAGGACTTGGTGTACACCATCACTACAATTCCTACTGCAGGCTTGCTCTTCCAGGTAGATGGGACCTTGATATCCTCCCTTTGGACCAACGTAACAGATCCTTACCACGTCGTGCGCTTCGCTGCCCCACTCAATCAGAGAGGTAGTCCTTTGACATCCTTTGGGTATGTGGTATCGGATGGTGGGATGCACTCAGAGGAGTGCACCGTCAACATACACGTGGCAGGAGATGCAGCCCTGCGGGTGGATGGATATGGAGCGCTGGCAATGGATGATGTGGATCTGCTGCAAGGCGGAGGGTCCTTCAGCATAGAGGCATGGATTAGGGCGGACAACAGCACGACAAGTTTTGCAGCCACTATTATTGAGACAGCGCATGCTCAGCTTATGTTGTCGGAGTCAGGCATGCCAGAGGCTGAGCTCGATTTTCCTTGGCCGTCTTCCAATGGATCGATGCCAGTGAAAGCAGGAAACCCGGCCTACCTGACCCCTTGGAGGGATCGATGGCACCATTTGGTCGTGGTTGTTGATGCTGGCATGGGTGGGGGGTTGAGTAACTTCTTTGTGGATGGCATGCCCATCTCCACCCAGTCAAGCTTGGGAGACTGGACGAAAGTAATGCTTATGCGGGAATTGGAGTCGTCAAGCAAAGCCTTCCAGACAAGAATGTTGATAGGCTCGGACAGAGACTGGAAGGCACCATATAAAGGAGATATCGACGATGTCAGGATTTGGAGAAGGGGTCTGCAGACATTCGAAATTCATTCACTCTTTGCCAATGGTCGTCTTTCTAGTGGGGGTTCTGAGGAAGGTCTCATAAGCCACTTTTCCTTCGACGATGCCCCCATCAATTGGTCTGCTAGTAGCAATACTAGCATGAGACAGGAGCACAGTGATATGCTGACCAAGGACCTCATCAAGCCATCAAGGCGAGTGCGACAGTTGGGCGAGACCTCTCTGGTGAAAACCCATTCCCCCACCCTGGGAATTTCCAGCCTGGCGAAGTCGCTTCAGCCGCATCTTGGTGCCAGAGGAACAGCAGGTTACGCACTATGTTTGGATGGAATAGATGATTTTGGGGAATTTGCGTTTGATAGTAGGAACGGAGAGAAAATCTTGACGATACATGGTGGGGTGACTATGGAGATGTGGTTCAAAATATCTTCTGTTGTTTCAACCGGAACCGTTGCCATTGCAGACATTGGAACTCTCTCTGTGCGTTGGACAAGGGTTGGTGGCTTCGGTGTCCATCTAGTTGGTGATCTATCCGTGAATGCTGTCACACGGATGCAGCTCAATGATGGATGGTGGCATCATATGGCGCTGATAGCTGAGGTAGAAGACTTCCAGCCAGGGCGTGACAGCCTTCCTGACACACGAAGTCACTGGAAAGTCAGCCTGCAGCTTGTCGTAGATGGCATTGTGGTAATCAACTCCTCCGACAGCACAGTTGTAGTTTCCCGACATCCGTTTACACTTCCTTTCTCTGTGACACTGGGATCTTCGTATGGCTTGGTTAAGGATCAAGATCAGGATAGTGTTAAACACCAGGTTAGAGGGAGTTTCCTTGCAGGGGTGATTGACGAGTTCCGGCTATTTGATCACAAGAGATCGCTCGAAGAAATTGAAAAGACACGAGCGCTGACCTTATACAAGGCTGGATTCAATGCTTGGCCCAATTCCACAAATAGCTCCACTCCTGCTGGTCGCACCAGTCCCAGTGGTACCAATTCCAGTGCTGCTGGTGGTTTGAATAAACATGGAGACGGAGGAGTAGGGATAGGAGGACAAGGCAACGGTCTTCTGGCCTACTACCCGTTTGACAACGACCTGGGCAATGTTGCAGTTGATTGGTCAGGAAAGGGGCACAACCTTGAGCTCAGAGGGGACCCAGTCTGGCTCTATTCCACTGCTCCTCTTTGGAGCAACGGAACGGAAGTGCCAGAAGATGGGAAGGACATCGTTGTGCACCTGGAAGGTGCAGATGTTGATGGGGATGCCATCAGATACTCTATAGTTGAGCTTCCTCCTCGAGACCATGGCACTGTGTTTAACCTACCAGATAATAGCGTGCCAATGACAGGGGTCCCTGCGATTGTGACAGACCCAGGAGGGCGGATTCTGTTCAGGCCGGAAAAGGATTTCCATGGAATTGCCTGCCTGTGGTATGTGGCAGATGATGGTCGCCACACTTCACCGCCGGGATTGGTAGCCATTGATGTGACACCAATGAACGATGCACCAGTTCTGAAACCGTCTCTGACTGTTCGTCTTTCAAAGAACAGAACATGGGCCGTCATTCGGTTGCCTGCAGCACATGATGTGGAGCAGCAGGAGTGGGAGGTCAATCACACAATCAGCACCCTGCCGCTCAAAGGAAGTCTTTTCCAGGTGGATATGGAACAGGAGAGGAGTAGCAGTAGTCGTAGGAGGATGGTGAGGCGTTCAAGGGAGGTTCTTGCCAGTGATTCAACATCAGACAGAGGGGAAGATCTATACAGTGTGGGAGAACCCATCCTCCACCCATTCACTGTTGTCTCGCATCCCGAAGGGCTTGTCCTTTATCAGGTCGCTCCTGACGCTGCGGGCGAACCTGGTGTTGTTTATGACCAATTTGGTTACCAGAGCTGGGATAGTGTGGCCTCATCTGAGGAGGGTGTTGCATTAATCTTCCTGGAAATGGGTCGCGGGGCCCATCAACCTGTCATTGCGCCTGCAGGCAATGCACTCATATTGGGTGCTGGTCCCATTGTTGGCAACTTCTCCTCAGTGGAAGCCAACCTTCTGTGGGGTCTCTTGGACCAGCTGACTGTTGAGCTCTGGATGCGCACGTCAACTGCTGTGAACCAGGACACACTACTTCTCCAGCTTGCCAACGCCAGACCAGGGAGCAGCTTGCTGAAGGTCCAGCTCAAATGCAACGCTCTTGGTGGTTTGACACTGGAGGTTCGACGGAGGAGAAGGCGGATGAGTGTAGCACATTCGCTTGTCCATATCAACGATGGGGCATGGCACCATGTGGCGGCCACGTACACCCGAACAATGATTACCTTGCACGTGGATGGGGTAATCGTGTCCTCAGCCAAGGTAAGAAATGGCACACGAAGAAATCGTGTCAGGAGATGGCCGTTGTTGGTGTTGAACCATTTGTCATTGGGGGGAACGGGAGGTGATGACAGCAGGAAATGTTGTCAATTCACAGGCAGTATTGATGAGCTACGGATATGGGACCTTGCCCGGTCGGAGGATGAGATCAAAAGGGGGATGCGATGCATCCTCACGGGAATGGAACGGGAACTGCTCTTGTATTTCAACTTCGACGAGCAGACGATGAACACAACTAACATCACCACCAGCACAAGGACGGACATTGCCACAGTGAACAGCACGAAGAACAGCACGAGGAACAGCACCATGGGTATGATGTGGCCAGTGAACGACGATGATATGCTGCAAGGCGTTGCCCAGTGGATAGGTGCCATCGACGTGCAATTCCTCGGGAACGTGACATGGGAGGCATCATCTGCCCCAATCACTGAGTTTGTCATTTCTGGAGTGGAGGGACAAACTGTGCGCATCAATTTGCCCGTCATCAATATGCTGAGCGCATCTCCGCTTTTTGTCATCAATGCCATCCCGACAAGGGGAACACTCCTCGATGACAACCAGAATGTTATCACTAATGCCCCATGGGAACTGAACAGCTCTGTCGTGTGGTTTGTGGGGAAGCCACATGAATCCGGTGATCGCTACGCAAACTTCAAGTATATTGCCATCGATGATGGTGGTGTTAAGTCTGATGAGGGCACCATTAACATTACATTCCGTCGAATCCCAGAGGCACCCTCACCTTTCCTTATGGAGACCACAATCAAGGTCAGTGATAGCCAGCCAGAGCTTATTGCTCTGACGGTGAGGGACCACGACCTAATGGACGTCACTGGGGAGAAGAGGGAGCAAGTGCAGTTCAGAATAACCACTCTTCCCCATATTGGCAGACTGTACCAGGTTGAAGAAGATCCATTCCTGAAGAAGTGGCAGCAATACTATGAATCTGAAGCAGGAAACGACAAGACGGCTCTTTTATGGTCACCAATTTCTTCACCAGGAACCATTGTCAAAAGAGTCAACGTTGATGAATCTCAGGGAATTGCTACAGCCTTCGTGCTATACTCCGTTGCAGATGGGTATGGTGACTTTTTTCCAAGAGCATCTCAGGTGGAGGCCTGGCAATGGCATCACCATATGCTATGGCAACTGCCACCCAGCAACAACTCCGGAAGGGGCGCAGAACTTGGCACCACCTTGGACTCCGAGGTAGGAGGAGATGCACAGACAATGACTTTCCTAGGTTATGTAGCGGAGGATGCTGACAATCTGAGATCTCCAGAAGCTCGGGTCTTGCTGAGTCTATCGTCAGAAATCTATGGTCGAAGCAGCGTAAGCTCTGGTGAGATCCCAGCACAACTCAAGAGGCCGGCACCCCGAGCCTTGTCCGTGTTCTCTATGGCAGGCTTTGCTCTTGCTTTAGATGGCATAGATGACTACATCCTTGTACAGAATCGTCCTTCGACAAGGCGCAGAAACCGGGAATCTAGCATCATCTCCTTGCGCGGCATTTTCACAGTGGAGCTGTGGATGAAAACCTCCACTCCCGTCCAAGAAGGGGTCACTCTCCTCACCCGCCCTGGTGTCTGGACTCTGTCCTGGACTAAGAACCAGGACTTGGCATTCCACTACCAATATGGGTTGGTGAACAAGACGACCACCATAGTGACCTGTAGGGTTGGTGACGACTGCCGCCTTAATGATGGTTATTGGCACCATGTAGCAGTTACCCTTGATTTTGAATCCAATGCAAACCTCTACATTGACGGCAGGATTAAGGGTTCGGTCAAAATGCACTCGCATGTAAGTGAGTCGGATTTCCCGGATTCAGTTCGTCGATCCCAGGTCGTATTACTGGTTGGAGCAGACGAGTTTCTAAGTGGTGACCGGTTCTTCAATGGTGCGCTGGATGAGATCCGTTTATGGAGCATTCCCCGGACTGACATGCAGCTGAAGGAAGCCATGCATGCAGCCATATCTGGAAGGGAGAGAGGGTTGGTCGGATACTGGCAATTTGAGAACAAGCAAATGCTTATTGCTGAGGTCATGAGGGAAGAGTATAGTGAGGTGATACTGCAGCCTGGTGCTGCTAGTCTCATGATAGTCAATGACACAACACGGAATGGTCTCCATGGCCTCTTGGTGGGGCGGTCATTATCGCAGGGACCTTTCATCCGGTCAGAAGTCCCACTTGCGTGGCATCGTTTAGTCACAGATACACAAACTCCTCTGAGGATCCAGTTGCTGGCGGTGGGTGGGGATGATGGAGCGAGCTCCCTTACTTTCACGATCACGCGTCTGCCATCCTATGGTAGGCTGTCAAAGTCTAACGGCAAACGGATCAATAGGGTTCCTTACCAGCTGCCTAAGGGAAGTAGCATAGTCATATATACTCCAAGTACTCGGTCACGCGCTGAGTCAAATTACTCTCTTGGTCAGCTTCCTCCTCCTACTACCACCACTGCAACAGCTACAGCTAATATGCATGGAAATGTTACGGATGGACAACAGTTCGAGACAGAACCGTGGGAGCAAAAATTGAATGACTCCGAGAAGGTGAAGGAGAATAAATCAACGGCGGCGGTGAAACCTGAGCCATGGATTTATCGTGATGACTTCTCTTTCCTGGCATCGGATGGGGCTCAACAGTCGAAGCAGGTTAATGGAACTATCTATGTGGTCCACACCAACTCTGTCCCCGTGGCAAAGCCAACAGCTGCAAGTGTCACTGAGGGAAGGGGGGTAGTTATCAACCTGTCAGTGGTGGATGCTGATCAGAATGATAACTTGAAGATCATAATCAGCACTCTCCCTGACTATGGCTCTCTTTTCCAGGTGGCCTCAGATGGCCTGTCTCCTGAGGAGCTCATCCAAGTCCCTGGGGTGGAGGTGAAGGCCTATGATAGGTCCACAAGAACGGGAGCTGTATTTTTCCGGGCAATGGAAGGCATAACTGATGGCTACCCTTCGCCTGGGAGACGAGAGGCGAAGCATGCTTCATTCACGTTCATGGCTACAGATGGCATGGCAGACTCTTCGGGGGCTCAGGTAGATTTGGAGATTGGGCAGGATGTACAGTATCCGATATTTGGCGGCATCCGAGGGTATGCGATCCGTTGTGACGGGGTGGATGACTATGTGTCTCTGACGGGCTATCAGAGGGGAGTGAGGAGATCAGGGTTCACGGTGGAAGCTTGGGTTCGTACAGTGGGAGCTGTCTTTGATGGTGCAACCATCATCGGTGCTGGAACATTCAGTCTAGCATGGAGTGCACTCGGAGGCATGGGTCTTCACTTTCGGAGCACGTGGTGGGAAGGGGCATCATCCTCACTCCCAGACTATTCCCTGCATAGTTACATGAGTATCAACGACGGCCTTTGGCACCATGTGGCAGCCACCTGGAAACCCCCGGATGCTGAGCACAAAGCCTCGCAAGCATGGCTGTACATTGATGGTAACCTGGTTGCTTCCAAGGTTTGGCCTTCCTATAATGGTGCCATTGGTAGCATCATCACCGTGGGGCGGTCTTGTGGCATTAACACGACGACGACCAGCAAGATCACCAGGACTTCAGCCACTGCATTGGCAAGGACAAGTTCCAAAAAGGCGCTGCCTGCAAGGACAAAGAATGAATCCCCTTCAGAGTCCATCAGGTCAACCGCCACACTGCCGGATGCATCCTTGTCATGGGTCCGTGATCTGCTAGGTCAGACAAACAGTCCCGAAGTTCTCCCGGGCCTGCTCAAACCTGATGGAGGAGACAGTTTCTTCTCTGGGATGATGGATGAGATCCGGATGTACTCACCACCATTGTCTGAGGACAAGCTGAGGGAGTCGATGAACTGGTCTGTGGAGCCATCCAACAACCCACCGAATCTAGTTCTGCATCTGCGGTTCAACAACCTGCAGGACCTCTCGACGGGAACAGTCCTAGATCTGAGCCCAGAACCTGGTCTGGGAAACGTCAAACAAGGTAAGCTTCACGGATCCCCGACCATGGTTATCTCCGATGTTCCTATTGCTCTTAAAGTGGAAACAGCCATGGACGTTCCTTTATCCATCGATTTGGCAGGGACTGACGCTTACTTCTCGAATCTTTCAGCCATTATCACAGCACTTCCAGAGGCCGGTGCACTTCACCAGGTAGACAGAGATGGAAGCGCTGGGGAGAAGATTACTGATACTTTTGTTGCTGTGACCGATGAGCTCATGAGAGTGGTGTTTGTCCCAGAACCTGGAACCAAGGGTGACCCAACCTCCAGACCGCCCTACAGATATGCCAGCTTCAGGTATACAATTAACGACGGTAAAATGAACTCGGCTGAGGACACAGTAGTAGTCTTTGTCAAACGGGTGCAGTATCCACCAAAAGTAGTGAAGAAGTATATGGAGGTGCAGGTCAAAGGAGTGGAGGATATACCAATAGTGCTTCAAGGAACTGACCGTGATGATGATCTGCTCACAACATACATCACCACCCTGCCAACATTCGGGCTCCTATATCAAGCAGCTGGATGGGCAGCAGACAGTGAGCGGGGAGCAGTTGGTAAGAGGATCCAAAGAGGAGATCTGATATCCAGGCCATGGACTCCTCTTTCCAACCACTCCAACACTGTCCTCTTCAGTCCGGCAACAGGAGACTTGCTCACAGAGATCAAGCAGCTGGAGGTGGACACAGCATTTTTTGGTTGGACTGTGACCGATGGGCGCATGTTTCAGATCGATGTGACTGAGGCGTTGGTGGTCTTTCGCTTCCCAAGGGGCAATCAACCAGTACACCAGTGGCCTGCCAATGGGGATGGAGCCGATGTTAGGCCAGTGGCAGGAGAGGCTGGCATGGCGGCTGCCTTTGACGGGCTTCATGGCCGATTAGTGATCCATGGCGAAAGCCTCCACCAGCTGCGAAGTGAGATGACGGTTGAGGCTTGGGTCAAAACCTCGGTGGGCACCTGCATGGGTGCAATTGTCTCCTCCTCCAGCTTCATTCTCTCACTGCATCCGATATTTGGAGTGCGCTTCACTGTGTACCTGGGTGAAAAACGCCAGCCATACACAACTGTTCCGACTCACTCGCCCCTGCCATTGAATGACGGAGGCTGGCACTTCATCTCAGGGGTGTTTATGGGCAACAGCATGTGGCTGTATGTGGATGGGAGATTGGCTGGCCGCAAGGATCTAGCTGTAGCTATCCCATTTGAGCTTCCCAAGATCTCGACGTTGACAATTGGCGGCTCCATCACCGGTGGACACAAGGCCTTCTCGGGGCTGATCGACGATGTCCGCCTCTGGAGTGTTGGCCTCCAACCAAGCACATATGTGCCAGATGGAGGGTATCACTGGACAGCACGTGGGCAAGGACTCGTCGGCAATGAGCAAGGGTTGGTTGGCTACTGGCGTTTCAATCAGTTTATACTGGAGGAAATATCAGTGGACTCGGAATCCAAGGGGAATGGACAGGTTGGGCAGGAAGAGAGGGAGCAGTTCACTGTACTCCTTGTTCCCAACGAGTGCTGTGCTACTAACCGGAGCAAGTATCCCTTTGGAGTCGAGCTGGATGATGACAGTTTCGACCTTGTGGCCAGCTCTGACCGTGAGGGAGGTGTAGCTGTGATTCCATCCGGTGCCCCCATCGCAGACGATGTAGTCCTCCCTGAGGATGTGCCCTGGAGCATAACTTTCTGGGCCTTTGGTGGAGTACCTGTGATCACACGGCTCCCAGCTCACGGTGTGCTAGTGCGGCAGGACAACAACCAATCGATCGATCGAGCACCACTTGTGCTTGAGACGCCTGTGGTAAGAGCCACTTACTTCCCCGAGAAGAACTATAACACAGAGGAAGACCCGAATGGGCCCGACAGCATAGAGTACCATACTGTAGGAGTAAATGGTTTGGAATCGCCCACAGTACGTATTAACATCCACGTGGCGTCTGTCAATGACCCTCCATATGTGCTGTACTACACCCGCAACAAGACTCTCCAAGCCTCCGAGCCAACGATGCTGAGAATGGTAGGTGCAGACGCAGATGGCCCGCCTCCGAAACTGCTTATCACCCAGCTGCCTCATTGGGGTCACCTGTATCAGGTGACAAATGATCAGGACATTGGGGAGCTGATGACCTTCGGGCCAGCAGAGGTCTACAACAAGGATGGGTATGTGTGGTTTAAGCCACTGGCAAATGCCTACGGGGATGCCTACGATGAGCTGACATTTATTTTTAAGGACAGCGAGGGAGCCTCCTCAGAGGAGACCACGGTAATAATCACTGCACTCCCTGACACTGTGCTCGGACTGCAAGGGCAAGGTCAGCTGCCGCTGATGTCAGCCATGGACACACTTGTGGAAGACCTGCATGCATATACCATTGAATTTTGGTTGAAGCCCCAGTCTGTGATCAATGCCACCTATTCCATGACCCCATCCTTCACACCGCTAGGAAGGCGGGAAGGAGGATCAACCCAATACTCGTTGCACAAAATGTTCGGACGACACGACAGTGGTTTAAGTACTGGTCCATACATATTTGCGGAGGACCCTTCGGAATCCATTATGCCATTGCTGGCAGCATCATATGGCTTCCCATTACTCTCTGATGGCTCTGAAGGAATGACAGCTACGCAATTGCTGCTGCGTCAGAAGATGCGACAGAGACGCCAACTTCTTTCCCTCGATAATTATGATGATCGTCGAGGAAAGAAGGCTCAGGAAGATGTCCTAATCATGGACGAAGAGAACAGGCCGATGAAGCTGCATGGTAGCCACAAAAAGAAGGGCATCCAGCAAAGTAACTTGCACAAGCTGCATAACAAGAAAAAGGTTGAAAGGGCTCCTCGCCGTCAGGCGAACTGGAAGAGCACACTACAGCACACCAAACCAGGTGTGGTGCAAGAGGCAGGGCTTCATGCTGGCGGTGAATTAACCATCCCATCCTCTTCACTTAACCCCGCTGCCCAAGAAGCAATAGTAGCAGTAGAAGAAGAAGAGGACGAGGAAGACCACGAAGAAACAGAAAGGGCAAGAAGAGTGAACCGGACACTTTCTGGTCAGGATTCTGATTGGGATTTCGATTTTCGGACATATAAGACATTCCCCATAGCAATGAACTTCTCCAATGCAGCAAGGCAGAATCTGAGCCTGGACATCAAAAGGAAGCGTCCAAGGAAAAACCAATGGCACCACATCGCAGCGGTTTTTGACGGTCGACTGAAGTCACTCTATGTGGACGGGCTGCTGCAAAGTTCCCAAGCTGTTCAACCCCGAAATGCATCCAGTTCCGGGGGACGAGGAGGTGTGCAGTTGCAAGGGCACCTGGGAGCACTGTCTTCGCTGTTCAACACCTACATCACACTTCCAGGAGCTGTACCTCCCGCTCCCACTGGATGGACACCACCGTCAAGAAAGAAACGGGTTCCCACTCCTCCTCCTAGTCGTCAAAATATCTCACTGGGCGAATATGCAGGGTTGCTCGACCAGCTCCGCATATGGAACCAGGCAAGGACACAAGGGCAGTTGGCAGACACACTCTTCACACACCTGACCGGAGCAGAAGACCATCTGCTCTTTTACGCTGCTTTTGACCGAGACCCTCCAAAGATTGTGACAGCAGTGTCGTCTTATCTTCTCCACGATAGTGCCGACTCCCAAGTTGACGAGATGAGCACCGCTGCCACCGAAGCAAGTGAGAACACTGGGAGCAAAAGACCAGTCGCTGGTGGTAGGAAGCTCGCTGCTGAAGGTGATTCTTTGGTAGTATGGGAAGAAGGACCAAACATGAGCGCGACAACAGATGGCGTTCGCATTGTCGTCAACAAGCCTGTCGCTGGTGTTGCAGGGTATGCTCTCCACTTGAACAGCTCTGGCCCTGTTGCTGTCTTCGGAGATGATGTTCTGGGGAATGGTGCTCATCTATTCAACGGCTCTACCAACTCCTCCTTCACCATCGAGATGTGGTTTAGGACAACTGAAAGCTCTGGTGGACCTTCTGTGCTGCTGAGCAAAGGGTGGGTGCTACCTAAGTGGGAGGGTGCCTTCTCCCTCCAGTGGACCCGGTTTCATGGCTTTGGTTTCTTCATCCAGAACCGTCATGGGGACCGTTTCTCACTCTCAACCGAGATGGGTTTCAATGACGGCGCATGGCACTGGGTGTCGGCCATCTGGGATAACGGCAAGCCTGGTCTATATGTGGATGGAAGACCTGCTGCTGTTGTTTGCCATGTGGAGGCTGTCAACTATCATGGCACCGAACCAGATTACCTTCCGCCCATGCCCTGTAGCGATTTCTCTTGCTGGGCGGACTGGCAAGACTGTGCCTCTGTATTTCCTTGTGACGATCCAATCATCCTGGGCTCGGATCCCAAGGGACTGCAGATAAGCCGGTTCAGTGGGACAATTGATGACTTCCATCTCCTCTCCAAAGCACGCACCCCAACGGAGATCGCAAAGGACTATGCACAAGGGAAGCTTGGCAACGAATCCGATCCCTCATCAGTTGCGTTTTTCCGCTTCAATGAGGCCACAGGAACTGTTCTTCATGACTCCAGGTACCTGCGAACAGTCAGCCTGGGGGGCGGTAAGGACAGTGGCAATCAAAGTAATGCCACGGCCAATGTCACATATGGTCACATCCAACTGCCTCCACAGAAGAGCACATCCGCCAAGGCCAGAGAGAATGACATTCCCATCAATGTGGCAGGGTTATGGGTGGCCTCCTCTATTCCGTACACCCATTCTCAGTACATCCATGGATTCAAATCACCGGCCTACACATACTTTGACCTGTATGGAGCAGATGCTGATGGAGATGCCCTGGATTTCTATGTGACACATGTCCCAGAGTTTGGCATCTTATATGACTCTCCTGACGGAGGGATCACTCGTGGCCATAGGATCCTGAAGAATGGAACTCTGGTACGTTCACGTCGCCTTCTGTTCCGGCCGGTGCAGAGGTTTTGGGCCAAGGATGAGATATTGCCGATGTCATACGGCTCCTTTGCCTATGCTGTGAGTGATGGCAAAGAGCTCAGCAGATCAGAGGGATGGGAAATACTTGTCTACAGGGATAATATCCCACCTGAGGCATTTTCAAAGACTGTCACCACTATGGAGGACACACCGTTGGACATCAGCCTCGATGGAATAGATCCAGAGGGCGGATCATTATACGCAGAGATTTTGGCTGGGCCAGTGCATGGCATTCTGACACCCAACCTCACTATCTTTGCAAGCCAAGACAGCGTGAATGGCTCTGTCCATGTCAGCTATGTACCCAACCCTGATTTCAATGGTCCTGACGTTTTCCAGTTTGTGTTGATCGACCGGCTAGAATCCAGCTCAAATGTGGCCAGCATTTTCATCACTGTGACACCGGTTGACGACCCCCCACAGGTGACGATGCCGGGGAGCCTGGAGATGTACAATCCGTATGAAAGGTTGCGAGATGTGGCAGTTATGGATGTAGATGAACTGGACGAGGACAATGATCCATCCAACATAGCTGTCTTAACAGTGACATTGACTGCCAGGAAAGGTGTCCTCGTGTACGAGTCCATGGAAACAGAGTTTGGCAGGCAAACGTCCTACGTTACATGGGAAAAGATGAAGTCAGCCATTAAGAGGCCCAACATGACACTCTCCGGTACTGCACGTGAGGTCAGGGAGATGATGGACATGGTATACTATTACAACCTTGACCTTGTCACTGGAGGTGCTGGAAATGACACAGTAGCAATCCAGGTCAGTGATGCTGGGAGCCGCTCTGGACCTGGCGGTCCCCATTTTACCACGAAGCGGATGAAGGTATTTGTCGTCGAAACACCCTTCCGGTCTGTTCGCTTTAGCGATGATGGCCATGAGATCTATGTAGAGTACAAGGAGGCCACAGACCGGGCAGGCATGCCAGTCGGCATACCGAGAGGATGTAGACCCTTGCTGCGCCGCCGGACTGTTGATGTTCTTGGGGATAACGCAACTTGTGAGTGGCTTGACTCTAGCACTTACGTCATCAGCCTGGGTCCGTTCCCAATCATCGAACCAGAATGGTACCTGCTCTCCACTGGTAAGAGAGTCGCGTTTGAACACTCGAGAGAAATTGTGCCATCTTCTCATCACATGATTGGCCCTCCAATGACACCTTTACGACCAGAAGCACAGGTGTTCGGCCCCACTCGGGTCGGACCGTGTGATGGACTGACACTGGAGGCCCTGGGATCTGCTGGGCATGCTGGTCGGCTCATGCAGTTCAAATGGGGTTACGTCGGCTCATCTCTGTGGCTGAGGTCCATGGCAAAAGCAGCCAAAGCACCTCGCATAGTTCTCCGCCCACGTGACGTGAAAGCCACAGGCTCCTACACCTTCACACTACAGGTCCGTAACTTCCTACGCATGAGGAGTACACCTGTGAGATTTACCTTCAAAAGGATGGAGGACGAAATGCCAATTGTCTACATTGATGGCGGGGCACATATCACAACCTTTCCAGCCGCCCCCGTGCGCCTCCGTGCTATTGCTAAACCGGCATCTGTTTGTGAAACACTGAACCACAAGAGAAGTTCCAGAATCCAATCTGAACATCCTTCTCCTCCACCACCACCAGCTCCTACCAGTGAATGGGAGGATGGAGCAGCGGGTGGGAAGAGCCAGCAGCTAACTTACTCTTGGTCACAAGTTAGAGGTCCTAGGGTCGCCTTAGCAGCGTTGTCTTTGCCCACAGGCCTGCACAAGGCGGTCCTGATGTTGCCCCCCTACACTCTATCCTCAGCATTGGAGCCATATGTTTTCCGAGTCGTTGTGGTTGATCCGACACGCCCTTGGTTGCGCGGTTCGGCAACCGTCCACATTGCTGTCCCATCAAGGCCACTGTACGCTGTGCTTGATGGTGGCTCGCGGGTCATCAACGGTCGCAGGGCATTTGATCTAAATGCCAGCAACTCGCAAGATCCAGATAGCAACCAAAGTAAGCTTGTGTATTCTTGGAGCTGCACCATGAGGGCAGCCATGATCAAAGCGTACCCATCCTCCTCCTCCTCCTCCAATGAGAGCAGGCCATGCATGCCCAGGACGGGGAGAACACTCAACTTCCCTGGACCTCGAAGCAGCTCCTGGCGAATAGCAGCAGGTGTACTTCCTGTGGCACTCTTCACCTTCACTGTGACCATTAGCGTGGATGATGAGCAAGACAGTCGCACCAGCCAAGCATCGGTCAACATCAAGATTGTGAATGAAGATGCACCGCTGGTAATGTTTGAGCCCCCTTCACTGACCTCACGGCCGCAACCACCAAAGGTCAATCCAGCACAACGTCTTCTGATATCAGCCAAGGGCTTCAGCGTCGCTGGCCGAAAGGTCGTTTATTTCTGGGCCATTCGGCCACAAGGTGGGCGGGGAGTAGGAGTGGAAGCAGCAGGTCTGGGATGGGAGTTACACAAGGGATTAGCAGAGACAGATCAGAATTCATTCACCTGGGACTCTGTGCAGTTGGATGCTCCTGACATGTGTCAGGACATCCAGCTGCCAGAGTGCCTGCAGACGCCCCGTCGAACACCTGATTTGTCCAACCCAGCCGTTTGCCCCACAGGGCCTTCAGGCCGGCATCTCCTCCTGAGAGAAGGGGCGCTGGCTGCTGGGCGGTATGTTCTCTACTTCCGGGCCACCAGTCTGGACACTGGCATCAGTGCGACTGCAGCCATGCCTTTGGTTGTTGATAGCTTCCCCCGTGGTACTCTTCCCCTAGTTGTTCCTCGCCATGGGATAGAGCTGACCACAGTGTTCGGCGTCACCATATCACGATGGAAAGATGATGATGGTCCATTGCTCTATGAGTTTGGCTTCATGGAGGATGGTGAGTTTGCCTCCTTGAGTGGACTGTACTCATCGCGTGTCAAGTACATGTTCCTCCCTCCAGGCAACCGTAAGGTCGCGGTGCGTGCGTATGATGCCTGGATGGCAGCTGGCACATCTGGTGCGAGGGTGGATGTGGCCTTACTGTCCACAATTGGCCACAGTGCTGTGGAAGTGCAGTCCAGGGTGACAGATCTTATTCACAAGGGGCCTTCTCTACTTTGGGATGGAAACATGGACGAGTCCCTTGCCCTTGCTGCCTTGGCCTCTGCGTCACTCAATGAGGCCACCTGCAATGACTTGTCAACAAATGACCCATCCGCATGCCTGGATGCTGACTTGGACGTGGCAGCTGCTGTGCACAACCGAGAATGGGCAATCAACCTCGCTATGCGCTCTGGCGACCACGGGGCTGCCATTCCTTCTGTGGTAAAGACAATCAGGTGGTTGACCAAGGTTGGTGCAGAGTTGAGTGAGGATGCCATGGATAGCACCACAGCCTTTGTCGTCAACAAGGTACGGTCGGCACTGGAGTTGTCCAACCTTGATGGCTTCACCTTTGAACTGGGTGCCGACTTCCTCCATGTGGTAAGCAATCTCCTTCTGGCTGGAGTCCTGGGATACCAGAACTCTACTCTCCTGGAAAGAGATGTTGCCCGCACCTTGACAGCTCTGATACCAGACATCTCACTAGCCGTGATAAAGTCTCGAGCTGGCATTGCGCCCGGTGTGGTAGAGGAGAACCCTCCAGGTGGCACCAGAGTTTTCCTTGCTAAGTGGTTCAAGAATGAACTGCAGGAACTGCCCAAGGAGGCTCAGAACCTGGGGGAATTCACCCTACCCCCCTCTATTGTCGCATATGTCAACCCAGAGGATCTCTATGATGCCGATTCTGTTGCATTCACGTATAACTCCTTTTCACCCGGCTTGAACCCTTTCCAGTTTGCAGCATCAGAATCTGCATCTTCGCGTGTTGTTGGCTTCCAGATGTTCTCCTCCCTCACTCCCATGGGAGCGAACTTGGCTACGAACAATACCTACCAGCCTCAGCCGCCCTCTCCATCTCAATCTCATGGCCCGACAAGTTTCCGACCAGCCAGGCTACTGAGGCTCATAGACAACAGCCCAATTCAGCTCAGGGTACAGAGATTGACCAACCGCCCTTCTGCCCTAACTCCTTACTGCCTCTACTTTCAGCGTGCTGCTGACAAGTGGACAGCACAGGGAGTGTATACGGACACCTCGAGCGATGCTGGCACGGCTGGAGCTGTAGTCCTGTGTACAACAACCCGTCTTGCCGACCATGCACTGTTTGATCTCCCTCGTGGACCTCCTGGACCCCCTGCTCCACCATCCCGTGCCCCTCCCAGTCTGGAGGAGGAACGCCGGAGGGCTGCTGCAGACAGGAGAAAGACGAGGTTCATCATTGCCTTCTCTGTTGTGGGTGCCAGTTTCTTGCTTCTGCTCTGCTGCACTGCTCTGCTATACCGTCGCCGTCGCAAATCACAGGTGTTGCTCCTTTCTAAGGCCAAGAAAGAACAAGAACAGCTTGAACAACGACTCAGGGACAGCGGTCCAACCCCAGAGCCCACTGCTGCCTCCTTGCCAAATAAGGCCGTCCGCACATCTGCCATGCTTGAAGCGGAAGACAATCCTTCGGCATTGTCAGCACCCAGATAACCAAACAAACCGACTTGTCATCTTCACACCAAACCTCCACCGCCAAGCAGCCTTTCTAGCTGCTTGATCCTTTCCTTGCTTCGTCAGGCTCGCTGGCCTATTCGCCTGCGGAGGTGAGGAGAGGCCCAGAAGAACTATTCCACCACGAGCCTCCGACGTCAGTTCTGGCAGAACAAGGGTATGAAAAGCCATCTCCTCAGGGGGATGCCCGTGTTGATGATCTGCTACCTTGGACAATGATCGGTCAGGTAAGGCCCATGCATGAGGATTCATCTGAAAGCACGGAGTGCAGTTAGGGGGCAGGGAGCGTCCGGATTAGATTTGAGAGGGGGAGCTGAAAAGGGAGACAGGACCTGACAGGTTAGCACAGTTCTCATGGTCCAAACAAGACCCTGGCTTGGGTTCAAGGACCTTGTGCCCTGAGGAAGGGTGATAAAAACCTCAAAGCATCTGGTCAAGGCGAATTGTATATTGCACAGTCTTTACTCATGTGTCAGGGTGTCGAGTTTGGTGATATTTGCCAGGTCCAAGGAAGGTTGGCTATGGCGTCTTTCAGCTCCAAGGAAGGTTGGTTATGGTGTCTTTCAGCTCCAAGGAAGGTTGGCTATGGTGTCTTTCAGCTCCAAGGAAGGTTGGCTATGGCATCTTTCAGCTCCAAGGAAGGTTGGCTATGGATGTCTTTCAGCTCCAAGGAAGGTTGGCTATGGTGCCTTTCAGCTCCAAGGAAGTTGGCTGGGATCTTGTTCCTATCGAAATATTGACAGAAGTCCCAATCCATTAGCTGTGTCCAGGTTCCACACCGCCAGCCTCTCTGGGTTCAGTGCTTAAAACAATCATGTGGTTGTTGCACACTCGATAGAAGAGGTCTAGCGGTTGCTCGAAGCTTCATCCATAATCTGTGCACTTGATTTGTGCTTCTGGAGGCAGGAGTAGCTGCATCCACAATCTGCAGACTTGATATGCGCTTCTCCGAGGCAGTAGTGCATAGAATAATGTCCTGAGACTGGTTCTGGCACTGGCTACGGCTCGGCTTTGACTGTGGGTGAGCCTCTGGCCGTAGTGATATAATAAACTCCCTTCATGAGCCGGTAAGATTCCGGCAACTGAGGAGAGCAGTGCCCACTGAGGTGATGATTGAGTACACCACCCACCAAGCTCTCTACTTGGCTCTTTCGTCTCGTTTGGTTTGCTCTTTTGATTTGCCTGGAGCATCAGTGCCACCTCTTTTCTCTCTAGATCTCGTCTTTGGATCTCCCTCGCCTCTGTCGTCCTGTCTGTGTTTCCACATCGATCGGGTTCAATAACATCACGTATCGCCAATCTCTCAAGTCATACAACCGCAACTCCTCATGTGTCCTTACATGGGTCTGATATCGAGTAAGCAGGTCCCCCTTCCTAAACTTTCATCAGGCAGATCTGTCCCGACGCCTTTCCCGCTTGCCATCTGCTGGTTCTGCTATTGCTACTCCTGCAGGGCTTCCCTGTAATGGAGGAACCTAGAAGACAGTGTTCATGGATTTTATGGCCTGCTGTTCTTTGGGTTCAGCTCCACCACCGCGATCCGTAGGTAAGGAATGAGGGGCGTGCAGAAAATAGCACGGCTTCCTAACTAGGCTTACTATGTGTCCCGGCCACACTTGTGCCCTTTCCCAGCATCTAACTTGCAAACATTAAGCACATGCCTCCATCTTTGCTGCCTTCCCCCGTGTTGTAAACACCCGTACCTATCTGTCCGAACAATATGCAGTTTTTTGGACACATGCATGTGACCAGTAGAATAACTGTGCCACTTTTACTCATATGCTGAGCACACTCGTTGTTGTCTGTTTCTTTCACGCGCCAACAGAACCTTCGTCTTCTGTTTATTTCACACGCTAACAGAACCTTCTGGTTCATTCAACATCCTTACTACGCCTCTCCTCCTCTTTTTCTCTCATCTACGAGGTCTGTAGTGTGAAATGAAAGAGGTCTCACCTCCCTGCCCCCCTAGGCCTGCTTTTTCCATGCAAAGATTCCTGTTTTGACCTATTATTATCAGGAGATTCAGGTGCTCTGGCGTCGATCGTGATGCTCAATTGCGGCATATTGGCTATTGGCTATTGGCTATTGGCTATTGGCTATTGGCTATTGGCTATTGGCTATTGGCTCTGATCTCGTATGCTGTTTGACTGGCAGATGGAAACAACTAACAGGTAAGAAATGAGAAATTGTTGGCAGCTAAGATACTTTCTCCACTTTCACGTAGGTTTGTACCACAAGTTTAGTTGGAACTTGGTAGGTCAATGTTGATGCAAACTTCCTGGAGACAAGTTCGAGCTTCGCGGCGAGTTTGAGCTTTGATATGAGTTCGACCTCTGAGATGAGTTTCGGATCCAGGGAATGCTGAAGATTCACTCCCAGCTGGACGATTTTTTTTCGTTCCAGAAATATGCGATGGTTTTGGTGCTCTTTTCTTACAATAATGAGCGTGGTGTGTCAGCCGCATGGGTCCCAGCTCTGGCTACCAGAAACAAGGAAAAAACCGTTGTTCTCTGCAAGAAATGAGTGGAATGCAAGGCTGGACTTCAGGAGGAGACACCAAATCGAAATGGAATGGCTTGGAACTTGGAACTGCATGGGACTGTCCCGGAACTTGGAACTTGGAACTTGGAACTGCATGGGACTGTCCCGGAACTTGGAACTTGGAAATAAGAAATTGGAACTGCATGGGATTGTCCCGGAACTGACCAGAATGGAAGGTAAGCCATCCTTCTTGAGGGCCTGGAGGGGCAAGTTGAACAGAGCAGATGGGCGAGGAAAAGAGGCTAAAATTCGCTAAATCGAATTGGAACGGAATCGAGCAGAGAACAATAGTATACGGAACGGGGCGGTATAGGATCGAATCAGGGAACGAAACCTAATTCATCAAATGAGGAGGACTGCACCCAGGTTGTGGATGCCCTATATGGCCCTGTAGGATGTGTATGATCCTGCCCGGCATGATTCCATGAGCTAGGAATGAGGACCCTCGAACTCAGTGAAGAACAGGGGCAGAGGCCGCAGAACATGGCGCACAAGTTGAAGACCAGGTTTGCATCAAGATCTGACAACATGTTTATCTGACACTGACGGACATCTTCAGTCCGTTGGCAGTGTGGAAATCCAGAAGCGGATTACAAAGTTATCGTCAAGTAGTGCAGCTGCATTGCCCCTGCCCGTACCCACTTTGAGCCCAGGCCAGAGGGTCTCCTCTGATGCCTAAAATTGCCCTCTTTCCACAAACAAACGAGCTGCGGAGGATTTGCTTTCGGTCATCCTATCCGTCTTGGCGGGACAGAAGACAGAGGGAAGGGCTGGTTGACGGATGGGCGATGCCCAAAAACTTTGGAGCGTTGAGCAGTGTAGCTGCATCGCCCCCGCCGCTACTCACTTTGTGCCCAGGCCAGGGGGCCTGCTCCAATGCCTGCCTTAACTTGCCCTCTTTCCACAAACAAACAAGCTGTGGAGGATTGCTTTCGGTTGTCCTATCCGTCTTGGCTGGACAGAAGGAGGGAAGGGCTGGTTGACTGATGGCCAATGCCCAAAAACTTCGGGGCTAAATGGACGTACTCGCCGGACAGGATGGAAGGTATGCAATAAGAACCATGAGAGAGAGAGAGAGAGAGAGAGAGAGAGAGAGAGAG